CTGGGCAGGCGGTAACAAAGGAGAAACGGGAGAATCTTGTCATTGAGCTCAATCAGGCTTTGGACCACATTTCTGAATGGGGTACCAAGAACTTGGTTGAGTTCAATGCTAAGAAAACCCAGGTCTGCTTTTCACGGCAAAAACGTCGCCATTCCTTTTCTGTCCTTCTCTTCAGGGCACAACACTGGAGCTAGAGAGCAGTATCACCATGCTCGGTATGGAGATTAGCTGTGACTTAAATCCAAATAATTACGTCGAAAGTGTGATAAAAACAGTCTCACGCAAACTCGGAGTCCTGAACAAGGTGCGGCGTTTTTTCACCCGAGCAACTGTGTTTGTTGTATAAGACGCAGGTGCGGTCTTGCGTGGAATATTGCTCGCACCTCCGGGATGGCTACGCCAAGTACTTGCTCGATGCTTTGGATAGGTTATAGCGGCGCGCAATCCGCATCATAGGCGATGAGGAGGTGACTAAACACCTCGAGCCTCTTCAATAGCGCCGTGACGTGGCGTCACTAAGCGCGTTCTATCGTCTGTACCACGGCGAGTGTTCTGAGGAGTTGTTCTCTCTTATTCCACCTTCCCCTTTCCTTCAGAGGACCACGCGCCCTGGCTTACGGTGTCACCGTCTAACTGTGGCTACAATTCCAACGCGTACAAAGAAATTTTGTCATACTATCCGTAAATGGCATGCGCTGCCCACTCACGTGTTCCCTCCCTCTTACAACCTGGGATCCTTTAAAAGAGGCGTGAATAAGCAACATGCAGGCCGGCAGGGTGAGGATGGCTGGTGTGGCAGGTAGAACTGCTGTATCAGCTATCATCGGGTCTAGACTTCACCTTCACTTAACATCAGGTGGGGTGGAGTCATATGTCGGACCAATCTATAAAAAATAAATATACCATAGGGGCATACGAGCAGACGGCTCACCTGATGGTAAGTGATCACCGTCGCCCACAGACATCTGCAACAGCGAATATCCTCCCACGACAACGGATAACTAGATTCGGTCCGAGTCTCAAAGACGCCCACTAATTGAGCCGACCCCTCATTTTCGAGTAGAGGCTAGAGGCTCTAGACGGAAAGCAGACTCCTACTGTGGGGAGATGCCATCCTTGAAATACCTTAGGATTGAGGTCTGCTTAGGATCTCGCCGCCCCCAAACCCGGTGACAATGTAAAGGGCATCTGCGACCAACAGCATACACACTCAAAAAAACATCGAGTGTCACAGATGTGATGCCGGCCTAATGGTTTTTTTTCTAATGTAACATTGTCAAATCCTCACATTTCTGATACTTTATTATTTTAGTTACCATCGAACATATAATGCGATTCAAATAAGAATAGGAAAGCCAATGAGCTCTCTCTGTCAAATGTCGCTTGAAAAGTAAGGTTTGCAAAAAAAACTTGGAACCTTTTTTTAGCACTCCGCTAATTCAAAAATAAAAACCAAACATTTGTAAACAAATATTGATAATTAATATCGGTTGATATTTTTTTTCACTTATTGAGCTTTGGCCATGAATGGTTGATAACATAAATCGTCAACCAATGTCACTTTAAGTTGCGTTCAGAAACTCGATTTCAAACTTTCGTTTACATAAAGGATGCATGTTCGTATGTGACCTAGTAATAGTGCATGATTATTCGTAACTACTCCGGCGGTAATGCAGAAATGAGCGGAATAGAAGTGCTACATTCTGATAAATGCTTTTTCTCACTTAATCTTAGTAAATAAGTTTTATTAAATAAAAACTTTTTTTTTGCTAACTCTACCTATTTGGTTTGAATTGACAGCTATGACATCAGAATATGGCGCCCAGTCGGTCCTATTCTTAGTTGAATCGCATTATATTGACTTTGCTGCAACATCTGCAGTAGGTAGTTGTAGTCCTCGACTACTGCAGATGTTACAGGTGTGAAAATGTCTTTAGTTCAACGAAGATTTGTATATATTTCCCATAATAAGTATTATTAAACAGTTGTTATAATCTTGATAAGACTGATATAATTAAAAATATCTTGGTTTAATAGAATCATGCTGGTTATTAGGTAATATAGTATCAATTTCTGCTGCAAAGAAAAAAATCTTCATGGTCCAGGATTTAAACGGAATTCAAACCCTATAAAGGGCAATAAAGGGCCAATATGAGATGCTGGACGATATATGTAAATGAAATGAAAATGATTTGTATTTCCCAAATAGTGAGTTTACAGTACAAGGTGAGAAACCCCGAAAGTAATAAGTTGCTGCCTCGGCTCAAGATTATCGCCTTAAGATGCCTCGCTCTTAGCTTAGTGCAGTTAACAAATTTTAGGCTCATAACGACGGATTTCTTAAAGTATCTGCTTTCTTTATGTGTGTGCGTGTGTGTGTATGTGCGTGTATGTGCGTTTGTGTGTGAGATGGAGTGAGTACGTGAATGTTTTGTACAGTTGTATCTTCATCATCAGCCTATTAATGTCTCAGCTGCAAGGGCACAGGACTTACCTACGGATGGAATAGGGAAATGGGGCCATGACCCACCAAGCAGGCCCAGTGTGGATTGGCGGGTACTAACAACCGTAGATGCAGCCGGGACCAACAGCTTAACGTGGCTTCCAAAGCACGGAGGAACTTGAGATAGAAGGTTTTTGGCCACCCGTCCAATGACCGACCACTGCGAAAGTTAACTTCAACGATTGGAGCCGAACGCGTTAACTACCCGCGCCATGGAGCTTCTCAAGAAAAGTACAGTATCTCGTTGTATATATAGATATAATTATTTCAATCGCAGTACTACGCAGTATATCCCGCTGGATATGCGTGTCCAAATCCTAACTGACACCTGGACTGACTAGATTTTTGAAGTGAAAATTATTTTCTGACCGGATGTAAATGGAAAAAACCTATGAAAAAGATGAAACAGAAATGCTTCACGAGCGTCACTCGACTAAATACATTAACGTGTGTGTGTGTGTGTGAGCATGAAAGTTGGAGGGTAACTAAGGAAAGGCTGAAACGTTAAGACCGTCACGAGCGTCTCACGTGACAATATAATTATATATACCTAGTCCAACCATAAGTTCTGTTACAATGTCGCCGTGTTTTTTAGAGCAGGTCATGTCCTCTAAAACTGACCATAATTTGAAGGGTTGAGATCTGGGCTAGATGACTCCTTAACAAGACGCCCTATCAAACCATTACTGACGCAGGATCGTCAAGATCGAACCTTCCCGACCACTTGACTAGCTTCTTTAGAACTGTGATAAAGCGTACTTTATCATTTTGCTTGTTGTAGTGTTCTTCAATCGTGAAGTTCATCGGTAAAGAAGATATTTCTGTGCTTTTCACCAGCGTATCGCGACAGAAGGCGTTTTGATCGATCCACTCTCGTTAATTGTAAAGATTGATTTAGGGCATATGCTGTACATCGACGATAGGAACCGAGCTTCAGGTCTTGTCTTATAATACGCGACAGAGTCCTAGCGTGAATCTTCATTTCTCGCGTAAGAATTTTTTGCTTCCTAATGGGGTTTCGACGAATTCTGGCTTTAACAGACTTTGTAGTTCTAACAGCACGCTGCCGCACGAAGTTTCACCTCAGAGGTGTGATCCGTGCCCACTATTTTTTTTCTAGTAAAATTTCCTTTTGTTTTAAATATCTTAATAATAAAAAATACAGGGTAATAACAACTTTTTCCTTTGAAGTCGAACTCAAAAACATAATTGCCGCTAAACCGCAACATTTCCAATTCGCGCTAAAATCAAAGGGAACACAACTGTCAACGCAACATAATTGGTTACAGTGAAACTTGGCGCCACAGCGTACCGTCTATTTTTATTAACTTCCGTCCCTGTTGCGTGTGTCCAAAATTCTTAACCGTCCTATTAATAGCTGAGTTCCATTTAACTGAGCAGGAATGTTCAACATGATAATGGGTAAACAGCTGTGAGAATTAACTGTAAAATAGACACGTTGTAGCTCGAATTAGCAGAGTTGTGGTTGCCATACACACTACGAGAAATCGTTACGATTAGACTGTACCATCCGAACGGTACCGATAAATCGTAGCGTGTATGAAAATATAATATATAAATATAATAATATATATAAAATAATAATATATATAAAATATAATATATTATGTATAAAACTGCACAGTTTCCTATACGTACGCCACGTACGATAAACTGTTCCGTTCGAACTGTACACGTAACGATTTCTCGTAGTGTGTATGGCTACCATTAAAAATTTATCTATGTAGGTCTTTGAATGTGATTAAAATTAGCGATACATTATATAGAGTGTATACGAACGTTTAGCATTCCTATAATAGTGTCGTAGTGAAAAGTTTCGAAATAATATTTAGATTTAAGTCGTGCAGTAGCAGGCTTCATTAGGCCGATAATTTTGAAGTAGAACTTCTTTAGGCACGCTTGACTTGAAGGGTAAGCTGGCGAATGCGTTACGCGTTACGAAAAGTGTGTTCGGGCGAGGCGAACGGGAGTTGAGTGGGGGATATAAGCAAGAGAAAGCAGTGCGCTCTAACATTTTCTTTCTCTCTTCCTCTGATAGCTAGTAACTGAAATGTATATGTACATACATGTATATATTGTACATATATATATACACACACACATATATATATGTGTGTGTGTGTATGTGTGTGTGAGTATGTGTCTCGGCGAAGGCTGAAACGCTACAAGCGTCAGGAACGTCACATGCGACCATATATATATAAATATATAGATACAGATGGAACTAAAGAAGTTTCACTTCAGCCGTGTGGTCATAAGTAAACTCGTTTTTTTTTGCAATTTGTAATGATCACATACAGTATTTTTTTTGAGTACAGACCATTATTGGTATTTTGAATGCTCAAATAATTATGTTTATTCGTTCCATATCGAGAATGACAAGGAAACACTGTTGTCAAATTCAATCTAAGGTTTAGAGAATTATGCCAGAATCGACACAGTTGACCATGAAAGTTTAAAAGAATATAAAGCTAACCTCTGTAAGGGACGTAGATGTTTAAATACAGACAGTCCTCCGACTCGTTCTTGAGGAACGCTTTCAGCTTTGTCATGTAGTGTTGCCTCTCTAAGATGGGAGGATCTCCCTTCTTTATAGAGGGGAGAGCTTGAGGACACACTGGTGCAAAGCGAGTGGCCATCTTAACACCTGGCCAGGGTGGCGCGTTTACTGAAACAAAGAGATAAATTGGTTAAAAAGAAATATCACCTTCATATTTCTTTTTAAAACTTACACCAATTAGCCTAGCCCCAGAGTAAGCACTGTAAGGCTTGTGTTATGAGATACTAGTGTAACGGATAGAAAACATATATTGTACATATATAAGTATGTTTATATAGAAATACATATTAAACATCCATATGACTGGAGTACAAATGCTCGTATTCATCACACAAACATCTGCCCCCACCGGGATTCGAACCCGGGACCTCTCGAGTTGGCGATACCATGACACCCGGCGTATAAACCACTCGACCACGGAGGTCGTCGAAATTATCAGCATATTAGTGTCCCCAACGGTGCTGCACAGGCTTTTCTGATGGATTGACCATAATCCACCACGCGAGCCCAGTACAAGATTGATGGATGCTGAAGGTGGAGCCAATTTTGTCACCTAATGACAAGCGTAAGTAGAATCCAATCGTGAAGTGAGTATCCTTACTCTACCAGTCTAAATCCAATTTCCTATCCCACGGAGACCAGAACCTTTAATCACCAACAGAAACACAATATTACCGAAATGTAGAGTTGATAAAAAATAACAGTTGTGTAAGGCGGTAGCCATTTCCCCAATGGAGCGGAAAATCCACTTTACCGCTCTTAAAATAGCCTCCTCACATCCACTATCATCATCATCATCATCAGCCTATTAATGTCCCCACTGCTGGAGCACAGGCCTTCCCTATGGATGGAATAGGGAGATTGGGCTATGACTCATCACGCTGGCCCAGTGCGGATTGGTGGGTGCTAACGCCTGCAGGTGCAGCCGGGACCAACGGCTTAAGATGCCTTCCGAAGCACGTAGGAGCTTGAGATAGTAAATTTTTGGTCACCCATCCAATGACCGACCACTGCGAAAGTTGCTTAACTTCAACGATCGGAGCCGAACGCGCTAAACACCCGCGCCATCGAGCTCCTCATCCACTATAATCAAGCAATTTCATTATTTACATTTACCAAGATAGCATATTCATTTATTGCAGGAGAAATGTTTTATTGTCAATCTTGCAAAAGTTACTGAGGAAAGCATTTGTTTTTGAGAATGTGTTTCATATCCATAATCATCATCATCAGCCTATTAATGTCCCCACTGCTGGAGCACAGACCTTCCCTATGGATGGAGTAGAGAGATTTTGCCATGACCCACCACGCGGGCCCAGTGCTGATTGGCGGGTGCTAACGACTGCAGGATGCAGCCGAGACCAACGGCTAACCATCCGAAGCACGGAGGACCTCGAGATAGACGATTTTTGGTCACCCATCCAATAACCGACCATTGCAAAAGTTGCTTAACTTCAACAATCGCAGCCGAACGCGCTAACCACCTGCGCCATCGAGTTCCTCATATGCATAATAGGAAGGCACAGGGCTTGAAACCGGTTTCAAAAATACCGGTAAATAAAGGTTAATACCGCTTTTTAGTAAAAGTTTCATTCGGAGCGCGTACGAAATGAAAGCGGTACCTAAAAACTTAATAAACCGGTTTAATACAGAGCGACACGTGCACGCATCGGCTCGCTTGAAGTTTGTTTTGTTTGAACTAATCAAGTCACAACTTGTTAATGCTCAGAGATTAATGCATTTATTGACACGTTTGCTAGCGTCTAGTGAGTTAAGTTATTCATTTTGTAGTTGTGTATTTATTTCAGCAGTCAGTAAGAGCAAAATGAAACCCTTTAAAAACCGATAAATTGATTCAAAACCCATTTATTTCGCTTTTTAGGATAACCGGTTTTTTGAGGTTAAGGTAGAGCCAAACCTATTTAAAACGTTCCTAATGTACTTGACACTGATTTAGGTTTAAAAATTAACCGGTAAACAAGCCCTAGGGAGGCAAAATTGAATTTGTAAAAACAAATCGGTTCGGCAGCTTTAGTGTGAATGTGTGCAAACTAAATTACTTTTTATTTATAATTACAGTTCAGATGTTTACTTCTTTCAGAAGCGTAAACACCGATGAGCTTCATCGATGAATTCCACATACTCAATATTTGTTTATCGTTAGGAAGTTTTGATAGTTTCATATATGCTGTATTTAATGTGTTTGTATAAGGAACAGAACACTGTAATAATATTGGTAAATTAATTTCCATCTCGAAGTGCAAATGGCGTTTGTAAATGCTAAAGTTACCAAAACATATGCCAAATTGAAGTTACATCATCAACATCAGCCTATTAATGTCACCGCTGCTGGGGCACATTTCTTCCTTCATGGAATAGGGAGATTGGGCATGACGGATAGGTGGGTACAGCCAGGAATTATGTAGCCAGGACCAACGGCTTAACGTGCCTCCCGAAGAACGGAGGAGATCGAGATGGTAAATTTTTTAGATCGCTCATCCCTTGTGTGTCCAAGTCTTAAAAAATGGTTGCCTGTAAAGTCGGTTTTACGGGCGAAGATTTTACGTGACAACGTCTTTTTCTCGGTAGAATATTTATTGATATGAATATAATTAAATTGCACAATAGGAACAAGGAATTGAATGAAAATAAGAATTGCACAAATTTTAACTATAGAAATATATTTTGTTTACTAAAACATTGTACATGTAAACTTAAACTCATCGTAACGTTACCGAGCGTTACACTTTTTCATAAGTGACTCCCAGCCGCAACCTAATTTAAGACGTTGTCACGTCAAAAAATGTCATAAATACGAATAGTGAAATATAATACCCGTAAAATCTTGTAATATTAACTTGTAAGGCATGCTGTATTTATATCCCATAAGAAGGCCAAGATTAAGAACATTACTTCTAACTCTTTAAGTAAATAAATAAAATTCTTCAAATCACTCACTTGTAATTACTGTCTCAACTTTCTTTTGTTCACACAAGAGTTGCCATTCATGTCCTAATTTAGAAGGAAAACTAGCAAACCAGTGAACCAAAAGTTCACCAAAACCTGACTTAAAAAAAAAATGTATTTTATTAATTGAGAACTTCGGAGATTTTGTGTGGTTTCGTTTGAAATTCGTGATTTCTTGAAAACCGGAAGTGCTACGTGACTCAAATCCAGTTTGTAGTATTATCAGACTATTCTTAACTTATAACTTAAATGTTCTCTTTATCTATCTCTTACGGTTTGGCCGCTGAAACAGCACCGCAGACAGACGGACGGACTTGTCTAATAGATAAGAGATAATATGAATGACGCTCTTATTTAAAAGTACATAACACTATTGCCATGGTAACAATGAGAAACCAACCAACGACATAGGTCAGTACATAAAAGTGAAATTTCCTAAATTGACACGGCCGAGGAACATTAAGCCCGAGCTGAAAATCTGGTAGTTAAGTCAGTCGATCAATTTAAAATAAATCAATAACTTTTATTTAATGCATATTGTTTTACCTGGAGGCATGAACCTCAAACTGCCGACTGGAGGTGCCGCATAAGGAATCCCTAGAAAAATCTCAACCGGCTGCAAGTCATAGTGGCGACTAGGCTTAACAATTAACCCTCTCAACGCCCCTTGTCTCAAATGGTACTCCCGCGTCAACCTTTTTCCGTCTTCGCTCGGGTAACCTCGGGAATCTCCGTACATCCCCGGCGCAGCTTCGTTCGCCATCGGCAGCAAGAGCGAGACAACAACACAAATAAACATCTTGTGATTTATAAACGGAGTCGCGTGCCGTCCAGCAGCCATTTTGTTTATGTGCCTCTGTATACTCGTTTTATTGGCGTGCGCTCTCGAAATACTTGCAGTTTTACTGTTTGTTTTCTGTTACTGCTCAGTGAGTCACTGTGGAGCTTTTGATGTCTCTTTCTAGGGTTTTATTTGTAGTTAAATTAAAACAAAGAGTTCACAATCATTTCTATTTAAGCTGTAAAAGCTCAAATATATCTTTCACTTTTCATCACTAGCTAATTCACAAATCTAAAATGCTAACTATAACACTAAAATTCGATCAGATCACAAAAGTCAATTTTCACATTAGAAAAAATTATAATACGACAATATCAATAAAAAAAAAACGCATTAATATCCACATAATTGTTCGCTAAACAATTGCACTATTGTTAATTTTGAATATCGATCTAGTTGGTAAATCGATAGCGTTAGCGCGTTAGTGAGTTGCGCACACGACTGGACCGCATCCAAAATGTCCCCGCGGGATTCTAATACCGAAATACTACGGGAACGACGAACACACGAGGTACAGCATTCTGCGATAAATCTGCTGCGGTTTTAGCATACCGTTCTAATTCTGAAACGCCGATTTTATTAAAAACCCTTGAGGTTAGGTAATAATTATTTACTATAGATAAATCAGCGTTATCAGAAGTTAGGTCAGTAATCTCTTATCTATTAGACAAGTCCGTCCGTCCGTCTGTGGTGCTGTTTCAGCGGCCAAACCGTAAGAGATAGATAAAGAGAATATTTAAGTTATAAGTTAAGAATAGTCTGATAAGACTACAAACCGGATTTAAGTAACGTAGCACTTCCGGTTTTCGAGAAATCACGAATTTCAAACGAAACCACACAAAATCTCCGAAGTTCTCAATTAATTAAATACTTTTTTTTAAAATCAGGTTTTGGTGAACATTTGGTTCACTTGTTTGCTAGTTGTTTGTAATTTATCAACTTAAGATCATAAATATTGTGCTGTCATCATCATCAGTTCATTAATATGTCCACTACTGGAGCACTGGAGTCATCCTTATTAGCAGCATAGGGAGGTTGGGCCATAAATGACCCACTACGCGAGCACAGTGCGGATTAGTGGGTTCTAGCTAGGGTTGCCACCTTCCTTTTGTCGAAATAAAGTACATTGGATATTAAAGGAAGAAAAAAGTACATTATGTCCAAAATAAAGTACTTTTTATTCCACTATATTAGTAAGCTTAAAAATATATTATACGTTGCTACTAGCAACTGTTTATAAATAATTTGCGGCTCCTGTAGTTTTTTTCCGCAATGGGAAAGTTTATGACCCAAATTCAAATAGACACGAAACTGTTGCAGGAATTAGCTAAGGGCAACATATTCATACTTTCTGTCCGTTTTACGCAAAAATTCTTCCTATCAACCTCTTTTTGTATATGTTATGTAAAATTAATCCGCGACTAATCATATCACATTAAATAAAGTATTTTCGCGTACTTTATTGTTGGCATGGCAAGTATAAAGTACAATTACCCGAAATAACGTACAATACTTTATAATAAAATATGGGTGGTCAACCCTAGTTCTAGCGACTGCGGAGGATCTCAAAATCATTAGTTTTTGGTCAACCAATCAATGAGTGGCCATAGCAAAGGTTGCTTAACTTCCACGATCGTAGACCGAACGACCTTACCACCTGCTATATCCTCTTTTCACCATTTTTTATGTGCTCTGATTTAAACATTGGTACCAAAAGATTGATTGTGTCTGTATTTTTCTTCATAGTGTTCTTTTCATAAATAATATCATGGCATTATATTATCAGGCTGATTTGCTGATTTGTTTTTTAGGTCTAAGCAATATGTCTTTTACTTTCATATTTCTTCTCGCGTCAGCGTTTATTTTTATTTATATTTATTTATTTTTCTTATTAGCGTTCATCACAACGTTGACACGTGACAACAGTCATAATAATGGTAACTGATTTCTGATTCTAACGTTTTGCCGCCATTCATCATCATCATCATCATCATCATCAGCCTATTAATGTTCCCACTGCTGGGGCACAGGCCTTCCCTATGTATGGAATAGGGAGATTGGGCCATGACCCATCACGCGGGCCCAGTGCGGACTGGTGGGTGCTAACGACTGCAGATGCAACCGGGACCAACGGCTTAACGTGCCTTCCGAAGCACGGAGGAGCTCGAGATAGTAATTTTTGGTCACCCATCCAATGACCGACCACTGCGAAAGTTGCTTAATTTCAACGATCGCAGCCGATTGCGCTAACCACTTGCGCCATCGAGCTCCTCTAATAAATAATATCATGGCATTATATTATCAGACTGATTTGCCGATTTGTTTTTTAGGTCGAAGCAATATGTCTTTTACTTTCATATTTCTTCTCGCGTCAGCGTTTATTTGCATTTATTTTTCTTATTAGCGTTCATCACAACATTGACACGTGATAACAGTCATAATAATGGTAACTGATTTCTGATTCTAACGATTTGCCGCCATTCATCATCATCATCATCATCATCAGCCTATTAATGTTCCCACTGCTGGGGCACAGGCCTTCCCTATGTATGGAATAGGGAGATTGGACCATGACCCACCACGCGGGCCCAGTGCGCATTGGTGGGTGCTAACGACTGCAGATGCAGCCGGGATCAACGGCTTAACGTGCCTTCCGAAGCACGGAGGAGCTCGACATAGTAATTTTTGGTCACCCATCCAATGACCGACCACTGCGAAAGTTGCTTAATTTCAACGCGCTAACCACTTGCGCCATCGAGCTCCTCAGCCATTTACTTGATGTTTGTTATATATGAAAAAGTTGTCGTATGAAAAAAATTAAAACATTTCAGTTCAGATCAATGGTTCTTAAGATTTATCTCAAAAATTTATCTCTTCTGCGACGCTTCGTAGGGAGTTTTCTCCGGCGACGAGCATCGTTGTGATGGGACCGGTGTATTTTCGGCCCGCGCCACGTGTCCGCGGTAAACATCCGCACGGCGACGGGTTAGGAAGTGCGGATGTGGACAGCTTTGAACCGACCAGCTTTGTTTCTCACAAAGGTCTAATTTCAACGTAATAGGGTTCAATTTTGTGTGGTACTCGTATATCAACTTCACCGGAACATGAGAATCCGGTTAGTGTGTGGATATGGGTGATCGAGTGATACTTTGCTAACGAAGGTATGAGTGATCGCGCTTCAAAGACAAATGCTTTTGCTCGATTGCATGGAAAAGCTTTCATCTTATTTAGAAACTAGCGGCCCGCCCTCGCTTCGCTTCGGTGTAGAGCTGAAGTGTAGACTAAAGTTTTTGTTCTCAGGCTTGTATTATACACAATGACATTCATCTATGATTCTTCTTATACCTGCATGCAAAGTCTCAGCCCGATCGGTTTAAAATTCACAGTTTCATACAAACTTTCATTCCCTATTTTATCCCCTTGGGGGTAGAATTGATCAAAATCCTTTCATAGCGCATGCTTACGTCATAACATCTACCTGCATGCCAAACTTCAGCCCGATCCGTCCAGTGGTTTGGGCTGTGCGTTGATAGATCACTATGTCAGTCAGTCACCTTTTCAGTTTTATATATATAGATAAATAATAGTCCTTGGTGTTGGCAACTGTTGGTTTGATGGCGAGGGTGGTTAGCGCATTCGAAAGATAAGCAGCTTCCGGTTTAAAGATAAGCAGTCACCCATCCAATGACCAGCTTGTCGGTCATTGGATGGGTGACTAAAAACTTGTTATTCCAAGCTTCTCCGTGCTTCGGAAGGTACATCAAGCCGTTGGTCCCGGCTGCATCTGTAGTCGTTAGCACCCACCAATTCGCAATGGGCCAGCGTGGTGGAACACGGCCCAGTCTCCCTCTTGCTACATTGAGTACTATTAATCGTTGTACTTTACTTAAATCGTTAATTTTTTATGCCTAAACAGTAGGACACGGCATTCCTAATCATTCAAAAATTTGTTATCTTTATATATATAATTCTTCTGTGATGGGTCAGCTAGTTATATATATAATTCTTCTGTGAGTGTGTATGTCACTGAACTTCTCTTAAACGACTGGACCGATTTTGATGAAATTTTTTGTGTGTGTTGAAGGGGATCTGAGAATGGTTTAGATTCACAATTTTGTCCGCTGGACAATGTTTTTTTAGTTAATTTTTTTTATGGCAGTACGAAGTTCGCTGGGTCAGCTAGTTTTTTTTTATATTTTTTTTATTTTAAAGTGATAATTTTAATATTATTTACATTTGTAATGGAAAGTGACTTCATGAGTTATCTCATATTGAAGTCATTTTTCAATTCGACGACTCTGTATATAATAAATGGAGAAAAAAACAGCCCTTGCTGAGTTTCTTGTCGGTTCTTCTCAGTACAAGGTCTCCCGCCGTAGATTTGCGAACCGATGGCGTAGCTTTTCGACATTCACAACTGCTTGTAACAGCCTAGACTGAATAAACGATATTGATTTTGATTTTTGATTTTATTCCATCCATAGGGAAGGCCTGTGCAATACGATTATTAATAGACTGATGATGATTGGTATCTAGGTTAGAGCTTATATTTACGCAATTGACTTAATTCTTGCTCATCATGAACAGACTGGAATAAAGTTTTGATTCGGGATTCAGCTAAATAGAATATAGAATATTTTACTAACCCTCATATTACAGACTAGTGGCCCGCTCTCGCCCTCGCTTCGCTTCGGTGTAAAGCTGTAGTGTAAACTATAGTTTTTGTTCTCAGGCTTGTGCTATAAACAATGACTTTATTTATATAATTACACGTGTTATTGTGAGTCAACCATAAGATAGACATATGCTGTTGCGGGATATTTTTTAGACAATTTTATGTAGAATATTTCCGTCATACATGATTTCTATGTAACTTTAACCATTAAGGCTGCACACGCGACGGAAGCTTAAAAAATGGAGTAACTTCTCCCATTTTCCCAACATTTCCCTTCACTACTCTGCTCCTATTGATTGTAGCGTGATGAAAAGTATACTATAACCTGCCCAGGAGTATGAAGAATGATTGTACCAAGTTTCGTTAAAATCCGTCGAGTAGTTATTGTTTCTATAAGGAACATACACACAGACAGACAGACAGACAGACAAAAAATTTACTGATTGCATTTTTGGCATCAGTATCGATCACTAATCGACCCCTGATAGTTATTTTGAAAATACACACATCAAAAGTGTCTAGGGATCAAGCATTTTTATGCGGATTTCTTGAGATTGAAATGTGGCTTTGTAATAAATTTATGATTTTATAAATTTATATGGATCCTTTTTGGTGCATTTCATAATTTGAATCAGGAACTGTGAATCAAATTCGAGTAAAAGATGAAAATCAGCTGTCAATATTTTCCCTATAAAAACATACAACGCATTGAAGACATTATTAGTGCTACTGTTTCCCTACTACTGATTAAAACCAACGTTATTATGGAGCG